TTACACAAATAAATAAACTCAAATAGACCGTAAACTCTGATACTAGTTGTTAGGAAAATATGTAATTCCCCACAAGTAAATCAATCAATGGGAATAAAAACTAATGCGGAAAAATAAATCAAAGGCAACACAAGAATTTTTACGTGGTTCCTCAATGTGAGGTACGTCCACGGGATCGAAATCCGATTCCACTATCAACCAAATAAGTTCCAAACGATTATAAACGAGACACTAATGGTCTCACAAAATCACCCTTAGGTTAATTCTAAATAATCACAAATAAACAAAGAGGAAAGACCTCTCCAAATAGATTAACCAAAATCTTCAGAACCAAAGTTGAAGAAGACCCAAAATAACACCCAAATCAACTTCACCAAAGCATCCAAATAAAGATGCACCACCTTGTTGTTGTTCCACAAAGCAAATCCCACCAACATTGATCAAAACTGTGCTGCAACCTCCAAGCAAAAAACAACGGCTGCACTTTTTCTTTTTGGTAAAAATAATGCCAATCATAATATTGTGGATCTAGGGTTTATTATCAAACCTTAGTTGTTTCCAACTTAGATTGGGTCTCCACAAATATAATATATAAAAATATATTATACCTAAACCAAGTCAAATTAAAATTCTTTAACAAATCAATTGGGTCCCACACTCCAATAAAGAGGTATACCCCTCACTCAAGACTTATTACCCCAAGTTTCATGCCGTGTCTCACGTATGTTACTGCATGAAACTTGAATGATTCATGTACAAGCTTCTAAATACCCCACAAAATTATATAATTACTCCTAAAAAAATCATTTTAATTACAGTTCCCCTTATAGTACATTCATCATTAAGGACAAAATTAAAATAATAAAAATAAATAAATAAATAAATAAAAAACCTCTACAAGTTAGCCACCCCCACCCTCCCGGCCCCTTCCTCCTTTTTGCCACCCTCAACCCCTCCTCGATGCCTCTAACCTCCCCTCTTTTCCCTTTTCCGAACACCCCCAAACTCCTTCCCCTACTGCCACCACACCGCTCTTTCTGTCTCCCTTTCTCTCATTTTGAAACCCTAACCTCAGAATTTTGAACCCTAACCACGGGAAGAGGAAGAAGGAAGAAAAGATAAGAGAAGAAAAAGGAAAGGAGAGGTGGTGGGTGTCAGGGAGGGTGGCAAAGGGCACAGATGGTGGTCAATGTGGTGGCTGGGGTGGGTGTGGGTTAAGGTTTGGCAGGTTAGGGATGGGTGTATATTTTGGAATTGTGGGGATGCAAAAGTAAAAAAAATGAATTTCTTAGGTGACCAGACTTAGAAATGATGTGGGTGCAACTAGAAACTCCCAAACACAAAGATGTTTAAGAATCCCAAATATTACAAATAAGTCCCCCCCTCCCTCCCCTATCTATGCACTTCTATCACAAGCATTAGATATATCATTTAGTTCACATGTTCCACTTTGCTTAAATGTTTTTTTGTTGCATTGCAGCTATGAATTTTTAAAAACTGTCATCCCATAGGGTCATGCACTAGAGAAGTTGTGTGTATTGTAGTTTTGCTTTGGTGGAATTAACAAGTCTCTTTTTCATTGTTTGGAAGCAGCAGTTGCTTACTCTCTCTTTTTGCTCCTCTGGAAGCAATACTATTTGATATTGACGGAACATTATGGGTTCGTTTGGTTTGAATTTCCCAAAAATTTTTGGGAAAATTTCTCTACAAATGAGTTTTCAGAAAAACTCAAACCAAACAAATTTTCTCAAAATTTTTTTTCAAAACTTGTAAACCAAACAAGTTTTCCAAACAAATCTCTCTCTCATACACATCAAATCAATCACTTTTTTCAAAACTCTCTCTCAAAATAATTTTCCAAAACATCTTTCCAAAAAAATCAAACCAAACAACTTTCGTACTTTTTATCTCCCAAACTCATCTCCCAAAATCAAACCAAACAAGCCCTATGTGATTTTATCCTGTCCATTACTATGCCTTCCGTGACATGCTTCAAGAGGTAGAGACCAACTAAAAATGTGTCCCACAGATTGGTTTTAATGGAGGAGTACCCATAACTGAGGAATTCTTTGTTAAAACAATCAGTGCGAAGCATAATGGGGAGCCCAGTCGAATACTCCTCCAGAATGGGATTTCCAAAGAGCCATGAAATTTATGGATGATAAGGAAGCAATGTTCCGGAGGTAATTTTAGGCTTCTCTCTGCTTAACAAATTTCAATACTTATACCATTTGAAGAATTCTACTGTAGTGTGCCATTGGGCACTATACCTCGTAACTATTTCTGCTTGATTAAACTGTCCAAATTGCTCATGCTTTGCTAGATATAACTAAAAAAAATACAACAAATAAAAAAACTCAAAAATTGTTTTAAAAAACTTAAAACCAAAAAAAATGAGAAACTTACTGGAATGAGAATATGATTACTCTTTTTCTATCAGACAAATTATAGTGATTCTGGCTTTGACCCGACTCTTGTGGTATCCCGGACTCGGATTTAATACTTTTGTGTTGTCGTCTATCCCTTGTTCCCCTTGTATCTCTTTGAAATTGGCCTTGGGTTGTTATGATTACGTTTGAGACAGGTTGGTTGCTTGTTTTTCCCGAACCTTGTTGCCTAGATTTTTGCTCCTCCGCTCAAGCGGTCATTCTTGCGCTCAAGCGGGTTATGTATATTTTTACAGTCCGCTCGAGCGGTCTTTATATTTTAAATTAACCAACTTACGAAACAGAAAAGCTTTATTTGTGGCTGATTTCCTATCATAAAGGCCTTCTAATTTTTTCCATAAATCATGTGCTGAAGTTTCAGTAGCGACATGATGAAACACACTGTCATCAATCCATTGACGGATAACACCAACGGCTTTTCGATTAAGCCTATTCCATTCATCATCTTTCATACCCTCGGGTTTGCCAGAATCACCCTCAATGGGTCCATATAAATCTTTACAAAATAATAGGTCCTCCATTTTAGTTTTCTAAGTTACCAAATTGCTTCCATTGAAGCTAGACATACGACCCACATTCCCCTCCATTGATTTACACAAATAAATAGACCAAAATAAACCGTAAGCTCTGATACTAGTTGTTAGGGAAAATGTGTGATTCCCCACAAGTAAATCAATCAATGGGAATAAAAATTAATGCGGAAAAATTAAATCAAAGGCAACACAAGAATTTTTACGTGGTTCCCTCAATGTGAGGTACGTCCACGGGATCGAAATCCGATTCCACTATCAACCAAATAAGTTCCAAACGATTATAAACGAGACACTAATGGTCTCACAAAATCACCCTTAGGTGAATTCTAAATAATCACAAATAAACAAAGAGGAAAGACCTCTCCAAATAGATTAACCAAAATCTTCAGAACCAAAGTTGAAGAAGACCCAAAATAACGACCCAAATCAACTTCACCAAAGCATCCAAATAAAGATGCACCACCTTGTTGTTGTTCCACAAAGCAAATCCCACCAACAATTGATCAAAACTGTGCTGCAACCTCCAAGCAAAAAACAACGGCTGCACTTTTTCTTTTTGGTAAAAATAATGCCAATCATAATATTGTGGATCTAGGGTTTATTATCAAACCTTAGTTGTTTCCAACTTAGATTGGGTCTCCACAAATATAATATATAAAAATATATTATACCTAAACCAAGTCAAATTAAAATTCTTTAACAAATCAATTGGGTCCCACACTCCAATAAAGAGGTATACCCCTCACTCAAGACTTATTACCCCAAGTTTCATGCCGTGTCTCACGTATGTTACTGCATGAAACTTGAATGATTCATGTACAAGCTTCTAAATACCCCCACAAAATTATATAATTACTCCTAAAAAAATCATTTTAATTACAGTTCCCCTTATAGTACATTCATCATTAAGGACAAAATTAAAATAATAAAAATAAATAAATAAATAAATAAAAAACCTCTACAAGTTAGCCACCCCCACCCTCCCGGCCCCTTCCTCCTTTTTGCCACCCTCAACCCCTCCTCGATGCCTCTAACCTCCCCTCTTTTCCCTTTCCCGAACACCCCCAAACTCCTTCCCCTACTGCCACCACACCGCTCTTTCTGTCTCCCTTTCTCTCATTTTGAAACCCTAACCTCAGAATTTTGAACCCTAACCACGGGAAGAGGAAGAAGGAAGAAAAGATAAGAGAAGAAAAAGGAAAGGAGAGGTGGTGGGTGTCAGGGAGGGTGGCAAAGGGCACAGATGGTGGTCAATGTGGTGGCTGGGGTGGGTGTGGGTTAAGGTTTGGCAGGTTAGGGATGGGTGTATATTTTGGAATTGTGGGGGATGCAAAAGTAAAAAAAATGAATTTCTTAGGTGACCAGACTTAGAAATGATGTGGGTGCAACTAGAAACTCCCAAACACAAAGATGTTTAAGAATCCCAAATATTACAAATAAGTCCCCCCCCTCCCTCCCCTATCTATGCACTTCTATCACAAGCATTAGATATATCATTTAGTTCACATGTTCCACTTTGCTTAAATGTTTTTTTGTTGCATTGCAGCTATGAATTTTTAAAAACTGTCATCCCATAGGGTCATGCACTAGAGAAGTTGTGTGTATTGTAGTTTTGCTTTGGTGGAATTAACAAGTCTCTTTTTCATTGTTTGGAAGCAGCAGTTGCTTACTCTCTCTTTTTGCTCCTCTGGAAGCAATACTATTTGATATTGACGGAACATTATGGGTTCGTTTGGTTTGAATTTCCCAAAAATTTTTGGGAAAATTTCTCTACAAATGAGTTTTCAGAAAAACTCAAACCAAACAAATTTTCTCAAAATTTTTTTTCAAAACTTGTAAACCAAACAAGTTTTCCAAACAAATCTCTCTCTCATACACATCAAATCAATCACTTTTTTCAAAACTCTCTCTCAAAATAATTTTCCAAAACATCTTTCCAAAAAAATCAAACCAAACAACTTTTCGTACTTTTTATCTCCCAAACTCATCTCCCAAAATCAAACCAAACAAGCCCTATGTGATTTTGATCCTGTCCATTACTATGCCTTCCGTGACATGCTTCAAGAGGTAGAGACCAACTAAAAATGTGTCCCACAGATTGGTTTTAATGGAGGAGTACCCATAACTGAGGAATTCTTTGTTAAAACAATCAGTGGCAAGCATAATGGGGAGCCCAGTCGAATACTCCTTCCAGAATGGGATTTCCAAAGAGCCATGAAATTTATGGATGATAAGGAAGCAATGTTCCGGAGGTAATTTTAGGCTTCTCTCTGCTTAACAAATTTCAATACTTATACCATTTGATGAATTCTACTGTAGTGTGCCATTGGGCACTATACCTCGTAACTATTTTCTGCTTATCAGTAGGGTATGGTTCCAAAAATTTTCATGCCAGTCACTAATCTCAACAAATTTGAGTGCCCGTAACCTGATTAAAATTCAGATAAGCATCGCTATAATATACTTATATAGTTTTCAACAGTATGTGAGTTAAGGCATTTGTTTCTTACATTTTTCTGGGTCTGCTTGGTTGTGTTTTTATTTTATGTTTTAACTATTTTTGAAAACTGTTTTCAAGAAAATTTTCAGAAAACAACCAATTTATTAGGAAACACCAAGACGTTGTTGCAAATTTTCGAAACTATTTTGGCACAAAAATGAAAATCATGGGTTTTTCAAGCTTTTCATTATTTTTGTTTTCGAATAACCAACTAAATAAATAACAATAACACAACCAAACAGATCTGAATTTTTGGCATGACGTGATTATACTTGTTCTCCATTTATGTAGTTTCCCTCCCTTAAAGGTTGTGTTTGGTTGGTGAATTTGATGAGGGAAATGGAAATATAAAAAAAAAAGAAAGAAAGAATTGTTGGGATTCGAATTTCAAGCTATGTTTGGTTGAGTTGAAAAATGGAGAAAGAAAAGAGCTCAAGGCTATGTTTGGTTCATGGATTTGGGGAAGCACTTGGAAAAGGGAAACGGAAAAGGTAAGTGAAATATGAATGAAACATAACTACATTTCAACTATGTTTCACACACTGTTTCCCTTCTCTTTCCAAATCCCTCCCAAAATCTATGAAACAAACACAATCTAAGTGAACCCAAAAGACAAAAAGTGGGATTACATTTCCCTCTCACTTTCTTTTCCCTTGTGTTTCCCATGGTTACCAAACAAAAAGTGGGATTGCATTTCCTTTTCCCTTTCCATTTCTCTCATTAAATCCTCCAACCAAACACAGGCTAATTGTGAAGTGACAGGGACTCATCTAAGAACCCAATGGCAGGTGGAAGAGGTTGAATCTATCTATTTTATAACCATAAGTACATCCTGTAAACACACCAATCCATATATAAATCATGAAACCCATTATGACCTCAATTTTTTGAAATGAAATATACAGATTGGCAGCAGAACAACTAGAGCCTGTTAATGGTCTCAACAAGTTACTCAAATGGATTGAAGGTCGCGGCTTGCAACGAGCTGCAGTGACTAATGCTCCGAGACCAAATGCTGAGCTTTTGCTATCAATGCTAGGCCTTGCAGATTTCTTCAAGACAGTAGTTCTTGCTAGCGAATGTGACAGAGTCAAACATTTCCCAGATGCCTACTTGAAGGCTCTCCAAATACTTGGAGCATCCCCACAATGCACTTTCGTGTTTGAGGTTCGGCTTATTAGCATTATAATGTGCTTTGGAATCAGGGGTGGGGCTATGTGTAATTTTCAAATTTTGTTTAATAGTTTTGGATTTTAACAAAATGACCACAATGTTTGGAGCTATTCATTGTTTAGTGGTGTCAATTTTAACAAAATGACTCCAGTGAATCTAGATAAATATCACATATATCACATATATTTGGAGCTATTCATTGTTTAGTGGTGTCAATTTTAGCTCAGTGTTCGTTCATTCATTTGCTCCATCAATGCTTCATTCTCTAACAACCATTGTTGTATTGCCATTGATGCATTCCTTCATTTGTTCTCTCTCTCTCTCTCTGAATGACCCCACTGAGGAGAATTCCTGGCTACGCCCCTGTTTGGAATGAACATTTTCACCGTAAGTAGTGGTGGATTCATTTGTTGATAATTGTTATAGTACCCTTATCTATGAAGAGTATGTAACAACTCTTACTCTACTCTAGTCATGCTTGCATATATTACATGATCTTGTCTTGATATGTTGCATTTTGCAAACCTTGATTTGTTTTGCTTAAGTGTTTCTTGCATGTTTTGTCTTGCTTGGTGTGAGTTTAGCCGAGGTCATCTTCGGTCTAGAATTATCTTGGAACCATTTTGTTTGAGCTCCACCCTCGTCCTGACATATTGGCCGAGATGTCATTATCTAGGCCGAGGTGTTCATCACCAAGGCCGAGATGTGTATTATCTAGGCCGAGATGTTACCTTTGCACCTAAGTGATCTTGTCCTGGAGTGGTATGACCTAGACCGAGATGTGGCACATCTAGGCCAAGGTGTGGCACAGCTTAGTCAAGTGTTGTCCTTTCTAACCGAGGTCATTACCATCTTAGTTACCGAAACTTTGTTCTTAGCCGATGTCATCACTTGCCAGAGTGCCTTGTCGGGTAGCTTGTTAGATACGCTTTGTCTTACATATGTCTTGTCAATCTATCACCTTTTTTAGGAGAACCAACCAGCCGTTGCCACGTGTCCGAGCTGAGTGTTAAATCAGCCGGCAGAGAGAGAAACCTATCATTTGTTATATCCTTGTTTTTGAAGAGGAGAGAGAGGCTCTAGGAAGAAGAAGAAGTTCTTGAGAGAGGGAGTAGACTTCCAAGCTTGATCTTTGGAGTTTGAACCGTTAGATTCGAGTTTTAAGGTTAGAATCTTGAATTACTCTTGTTGTTCTTATTGATCATCTAGCTGTATTGCATGATCGAACCTGATTTGCAAACCATGCATCGATTTAAATTTTGGTTTTGGAAAGAGAAAGTGATGTTCATGTGTTCTTGAATAGAAGCCTTGTTTGATCCGAAAGCTGCATCGAGATTCATGTTTTTGTGTTTGTTTTCATAAAATCTTCGAGTATGGGTACCCAGGTCCATGTTTTTGAATTCATAGTATGAAATCTCAGATTTTGTAATAACAAGTTATGCTCTTTGCACTCATGTTCTTCATGTTCTTTAAGAAAGGGAAACCCAGATTTTCCCAACTTCATTCCCTTGAATGCGGCCCTCGGGACCACACCTCGGCAGGGAGGTGTGGGACCTCGGCCAAGACCTGGTTGGTGCCCATTATGTTTTCCCGAGATGAGGAACAGTGTTTTGTTTTGGTTCGACTTTGTTTTGGAAGTAATGCCGAGATCATTTGCATTCATGTAAAACTTGTTTGATAGTGCATTCAATGGGATTTGTTATGTGCTTGTAGGTCTTGGATCTTTGCTTGTAACCCCGACGTTTGAAGAACTATGTGAGTGGTATTTTTAATAAAGCTATGTTATAAAGTTTTGATAAAGCTTTGCTTTGTTTTGTTTTGGAAAGTATTTGTTAAGCATGAATGATTATCCCTATTTTGTATATCAAGTGTTAGTCTTGTTTTGGATAACAATCTTTGAAAGTTCGTACGTGCTAGGGGACTATAAGCATTTGTAGCCCAACCTTTGAAAGTCCGTACGTGCTAGGGGACTATAAGCATTTGTAGCACAACCTTTGAAAGTCCGTACGTGCTAGGGGACTATAAGCATTTGTAGCACAGCCTTTGAAAGTCCGTACATGCTAGGGGACTATAAGCATTTGTAGTACAACCCTTGTTAACGTCACCCCTTGGAACTTAAAAGCCTTGAAAGACTTTGATTGATGAAGCTTGAAAGATTTGTTAGATGAACTTGATTCCTCCCTTGTTAGTTACAAGCTATGATTACGTATTGTTTTGTTAAAGATCTCGGATATCATGCATGCAAACCCTTTATTTCTTGTACCATTCACTGAGTATCCAGGCTCACCCTCTCTATATATATGTAGGTGATGAGCAGGACAGCGGTGACGCCTGGATGTGCCTTGCAACTTGTTTTGGATTTGCATTTTGTGGCATCTTGAAGATCATGCTTCTTAGCTTGTATCTCATTGTGTTTTGTATATGATGGCTTGAGAAACCTTTTGGTCAAGATGTATTTTGTTTATTAATCGATCGATTGTAAAACCATATTATGTATGTCATTGCATTTGATCTATGTACAGCTCTTATGGACCACTTGGATTTTAATTTATTACTTCCGCATTTGTAAGCCCCATGTGTAATACTCTGATTGTGTGTGAATTTTGAAAGTCGGCCTTCGATAATCTCGAATTACTGACCATCACAGCATCATTCTACTAGAGGCGGAATGGAGTCGTGACAGAGTATCTCGCATTTACCCTTATAAAATTATACTAGTGCCCACCTCAAATATTTAAGCACCCCTGGCATTTTTGAATTTTCAAGAAAAAAAAAAGAAGAAAAAACTGTAACTTACTCCCTTGTCTTTCTCTCTTTTTCCGTGAGTCACAACTGGCCATCATCCACATTGTTCGGCAGAAGACCACATCAAGTTGTCCGTCCCTTGAATTGTTAATTTGTGTTTTTAGATATTGTTAGTTGGGAAAAATATATTTTGAGAAAAATATTATATTTTTTTTTGTAGAAGTATGCATTAGAAACTTTTGTAGTTAGTAATGAATCTTTAAATTTTGTAATATCTCATTATTATTGATTATGGGGGGAAAATTTAAGATCGTGATTAATATGTCCCCCCTCTATGTTAAATTTCTCACTCTGTCGGTGATTGTAAGCCTGGAGCATTTCCTTAAATAAGTCAAAATACTAAATCAATTCCTAAACTAAGTCTAGTTTTGAAAGAATTCTCAAAATAAGCTAAATCGTGGTTCACAACCACGATTTCAACGTGTGTACGCCTGTCTCGCGTGAAATTTGGGTAGTCTTAAAATCGTGGTTACAAAACGCGCTTTTGATTAAGAAATCACGGTTACAAAAGGCGCTTTTAATTATTTTTTTTTCTTCTGAAATCACTATTCTGAACCACGATTTTATCCAAAAAAAAATTTCTTGTGAAATCGCTGTTCCTAACCATGATTTTATGAAAAAACTATTTTTCTTCTGAACTCGCTGTTTCAAACCACACTTTCACTGTGTGAAGAAAGCATGGTTAGAAATCACGCTTTCAACACTTCCCTCACATACACTCACAAATTTGACTCTGACACCAAACACAAACAAACACTCACACACACAGTCACTCAACACATATATATATATATATATTTTAATATATATATATATATAAATTTTATTTCATAAAATTGAAATCAATATTAAATATATATAATAATTTATAATAACAAATAATAATCAACTATATAAAATGATTACTTTTTATTTTAATTCTTAATTTTTTTTTATTTTACTGTTTAGGGATAAAAAAAAATTTATTTTATTTTAGGGTTTAAGGTTTAATTAAATTTTTTTTTTTATTTTAGTGTTTAGGATTGATAAAAAAAAATTAATTGGAACAAAATGTTTAAAAAAATCTTAAAACATAAACTAAAAAATTGGCTAAAATATTTATATTTATATTTATTATTTATGACAATGGGATCACACATATTATAATTGAAAAAAATTAATTAAAAAAATTTAATTGGAAAAAACATGGTTTGTAAAAATTATTGAAATTTTTTTTTGGAAAAATCGTTGGTTTATAATTTATGTTTTTCTAAAAATAAACAGAAACCAGTTTATAAAATTTTTATAAACATAAACCAAAAACGTAAATGTTACCAAACGCTACCTTAGTGTTTAGGGATAAAATTTATTTATTTTTTTATTTTAGGGTTTAGGGTTTAATTCTTAAAATTTATTTATTTTTATTTTAGGGTTTAGGATTTAGGGTTTAGAATTCATAGTTTAATTCTTAAAATTTATTTATTTTTTTATAAATCCTAAACCCTAAAACAAAAAAAATAAATTTTAAGAATTAAACCTTAAACCCTTAAATAAAAAAAATAAATTTTATCCCTAAACAATAAAATAAAAAAAATTAAGATAGTAAATTTAGGGGAAAAAATTAAGATAGTAAATTCTAAAAAAAATTTAGGGTTTAGAATTTACTATCTTAATTTTTTCCTCTAAAAAAATTTAGGTTTAGAATTTACTATCTTAATTTTTTTTATTTTACTGTTTAGGGATAAAATTTATTTTTTTTATTTTTGGAATTTAGGATTTAATTCTTAAAAATTATTTATTTTTATTTTAAGGTTTAGGATTTAGGGTTTAGAATTTATAGTTTAGGAATAATTTTTTTTTTTTTTATAAATCTTAAACCCTAAAATAAAAAAAATAAATTTTAAGAATTAAACTTTAAACCTTAAAATAAAAAAAAATAAATTTTATCCCTAAACAGTAAAATAAAAAAAATAAGAATTAAAATAAAAAGTAATCATTTTATATAGTTGATTATTATTTGTTATTATAAATTATTATATATATTTAATATTGATTTCAATTTTATGAAATAAAATTTATATATATATATGTTGAGTGTGACTGTGTGTGTGAGTGTTTGTTTGTGTTTGGCGTCAGAGTCAAATTTGTGAGTGTATGTGAGGGAAGTGTTGAAAGCGTGCTTTCTAACCACGCTTTCTTCACACAGTGAAAGTGTGATTTGAAACAGCGAGTTCAGAAGAAAAATATTTTTTGATAAAATCGTGGTTAGGAACAGCGATTTCATAAAAAAAAAAAAATTGGATAAAATCGTGGTTTAGAGCAGCGATTTCAGAAGAAAAAAAAAATTAATTAAAGGCGCCTTTTGTAACCGATCAAAAGCGCATTTTGTAACCACAA